CAACAGTCCCCATCAACCCCTTGCCCTGACAAATGGCCTTCCCGGCTTGAAGACGTCACCTCCGAGGTGTCTCTGGCACCTTCCCTTCCTTCCGGCTCTCCCTCCTCAGCCGAAGCGCGCCCGTGTGCCGGATGCCCCGTGCACTCGTTGGGGCGAGCACTTCCGGTGCAGCGAGTGCGGTCTCCCTGCCCCTCTGGACCGTGAGACCCCAGAGAGCCGACTCTCCGGCTCCTGTGCCCGCACCAGGCCTGGCCCCTGGGAGTGCTGGAGCCGTCGGTGCCGCGGGCGTCGAGGGAAGGCCTGAGCTGCGGACATGCGCAGCTGAGCGCCGGCACAGCCCGCAGCCGACTGGAGGCCGGCTTTCTGGGATTTCGCCGCCTCCCTCACACGCTGCACGCTGTCATTTTTGCCTCAGAACAACCTCCCTGGTCTCCACCACGTCCTCCACATTCTGGAGACTGTTCTCATCCCTCGCTCGAACTCTTCGGGTGGGCTCCCGAGCCTCCTGCCGTGCCCCCTTCGGTGCTCCTCGCCACCACGGCCACTCTTGAGTTTTCCTCTGCTCAAATCGGATCTTGTCACTGTCCTGCCCACGTGGCTCGGGGCTTCCCTGTTGCCTCCAGGGTAACGTCCCCGTCCCCAGCATCCCCCACTCACGGCCTGCCCCCCAGCACAGCGTCCTGCCTTGGTTCCTCGCGCTCCTCACTACTCCTGTGCGCGGCCCAGCTCGAGGACTCCTGGACCCCGGCTTGGGGGGAAGCACGTGGTGACCGAGACTTTCCACGCCTGAGCTTGAGGCAACATGGCTGGGATGGAAGCGAGGGCCTGCATGGTGACTTTGACCCCAGGGGATTTCCTCTGCCCCTGCTCCCAGCCTCACCATTGCCATCCACCATGGATGTGCCACCAGCAGGGGCCTCTGGGTGGTTTGGGGTGACAGTGACAGTTGCCGGAACGCTCTGTGCCACCCCAAGATAAACAGTCCTTTGCTAAAAGCATGGTTTTTCTTTCAGGTTTGCTGACCACGGGTATTTCTGCCTTGACAGGAGCCATGGAGGTTCAATGTCACGTAGGAGATGCTGTCAGTAAACACGTCACTGGGTTATCTTTTTTAAGGATTCTTAGCAGGCATTAAATAGCATAGTGAATAGCCAAAGAATGGTTCCAGAATGTCGCAGAAATCTGACTCGTGGAACTCGATTTAGAGTCTAAATTTTAGGCCACTTCTGTTGCTTGAACCACAGCTAGAAGAAAGTGTGGGATTTATGTTCCTATCCATGGGCCCAGCGAGACATGCCCGCTGAGTACCAGCCAGATAACAGGTTTGCACTTTAGATTGGAAATAGCATAGTGTTAAAAACGTGGCATTTAGATTTCAAGTCCAGCAGATCTGCATTGGGTCTTTGCCTTGCCAGATATTAGTTGTGATTTTAGAAAGTTGTTATCCGGGGTGCCTGGGTGGCTCAGTCATTAAGCGTCTGCCTTTGGCTCAGGTCATGATCCCAGGGTCCTGGGATCTAGCCCCGCATCGGGCTCCCTGCTCTGCGGGAAGCCTGCTTCTCCCTCTCCCTCTCCCTCTGCTTGTGTTCCGTCTCTCGCTGGCTCGCTGTGTCTCTCTCTGTCAAATAAATAAAATCTTAAAAAAAAAAAAAAAAAAAAGAAAGTTGTTATCCTTTCTGAGCCTTTGTCTCCTCATTTGGTAATAGTCCCTACCTGATAGGTGCACTGTAAGGATTAAATGTGATAAAATATGAAAAGCACTTAATAGCACTGTCCGGTACTTAGAAAAGACTCGCTGAATGTTAGCAGCTGTCTGTGTAATTGCTGTTGCTAATATTTACTCTGCACCCAAGCTCCAGTTTTGCAGGCCTTGTTGCAGAGATAATTGTGTGGGCTGACCTCACAGGGTGTGGATTAATTGGCTGATGTGGGCAAAGCATTTCGTAAAACCTCTGTGTACAATAGATTAAGTGTGAGTAAGTTTAAAGTTGGTCTAGTTCAAAAGATTTTTCATGGCATGTGCTCTGCACAGAAGTTCACTTTTCAGGGCAGGTGACAGGCCGTTTTGGACCTGTCATTTGTTCCCAGTGAGATCATACTGGCCGAGCAGAATCTTGCAGCCTGGAATCACACACATCTGAAAATACACAGCATTTTCACAGGGTATTTCGGGGCGAGACCTGGCAGAGTCCAGTTGTACACAGTAGTTGTGGAAAGCAGCGGTTGAATGTTGTGCCCCCTTCTTGGCTTTGTGCAGGGGGCCCAGGAGCACTCCCCCCCGCCTCCCCTCCCCCCCAGCCTGGATGCAGTCTGACGCCGGCGACACTCTGGCATGTTTTCCATTATTCCCTTTGGAGCGTTTGCCACTAAGTGGTAGAGAAGAATCCAAGTAGCCCGTGCTTCTTGCTTAGTTTGAAGGCAGGGAGGGTAGTTATCATATCTGTTGACCAGTCTCTAAAGGATACAGATATGGGGCAGTAATATTTTAGATTTAGCTAAAATAAAGAATGACTTAAAAGAGTAGAAAATGAGGGCACCTGGGTGGCTCAGTTGGTTAAGCGTCTGCCTTCGGCTCAGGTCCTGATCCCAGGGTCCTGGGATCGAGACCCACATCAGGCTCCTTACTCAGCAGGAGCCTGCTTCTCCCTCTGCCTGCAGCTCCCCCTGCTTGTGCTCTCTCTCTCAAATAAAATCTTTTTTTAAAAAAATGGAAAATGTTCCTTGAATTTGAAATATTGTAGCTTAATGGAGAGCCTCCTGGGGGTGGGTCTCTAGAGACATTTAATATCTAAAGCAGGATCAACAATTTACACCCTTGGGCTGGCTTCCTGTTTTTGTAAATAATGTTTAAATGAAGGAAGCCACACTCATTCCTTTCTGTCTTGTTTATGGCTGCTTTCATGTTCCAACAGCAGAGTGTGTAGTTGTGACAGAGACCATCTCCACAAGTAATGTCTGTCTGGCCCTTAGAGGAAAAGTTTGTCAACTTCAGGCTAAAGCGTAGGCCACCTCAGCTCTTAGCAGGACTTGGGATCTTGGAGAGTAGTGTTTAAGTGTGTGGATCTTAGAATGGGACAGATGTGGGCTCACATCCCAACCCTGCTGCTAAGTAGCTGTGTGACCTTGGGCAAGTGTCTCAACCTTTCTGTGCTGCCTGTTTCTTCATCTGTAAAAATGAGTTAATAATCAGAACCTACCTTATAGGGTTGTCAGAATTAAATGAGGTAACACATGGAATACACTTGGTGTGGCATCTGCCATGGATTAAATCCTCTCCGTGCTAGCTGCTGTTGTTAGGACGATTCTGTAGGTCTGCAAATCCCAGTCCACATGGTGCTGCCCCCAGGCAGATGCTTAAAGTAGCTTAAGCAAATCCACCCTAAACCCTCCGTTACTAACTCAGAGAAGAGGAGCGAGGGATTTTCTGATACAACAGGCTGTCAGCCCAGTGAGTGGGTCAAGACCCTTTCCCGTGCACTTTGACCTTCCAAACAGCTCTGCTGGAGATGATCGGCAGGCTGATTTCTTGGCTGATTGTTTCATGCTGTGCATTCTTGGTATTTTATCATACCACCCCCCTCATAGTGATGTCACCTTGAAGTATTTTCCCCTGACCTCGGATTCCAAGTATTGTCTTAAACCGGGAATTTAGAGGAGTCTTCTAACCTTGTTTGTGCATTCATTCATCACACATTTGTCGAGAGGCTGCTGTGTGCTGGGAGCTGCTGCACGCCCTCCCTCAGTGCGTGCGGGGCCTAGTGCTTGTGCATTTGTTCACCTGCCTTCCTCTTGGCTCCGTGGCCACCAGCTCGGGTTTGTTTTGAAAGGAGTGGCACCCTGGTAGGATTCCAAAGCCAGGAACTTTTATTATATGTGCTTGTTTCAGGGTCAGTTAATGCCTGTTCCTTGGGGCTGATGAAGGAAGTCAGGGAACAGGTTGGCTAGTTGTCAGCAAAGAGGGCTGAAAAAAGTAGGATTAGGATTCTGATGGGTCTTGCAAAGGAAGACCACGATAAAGAAAACAAGCCCCTGCAGAGTTCAGGCCTTGCCCCTAAAGGGACAGCAAACCCAGGAGAATTAGAAAGTAAGCGAAGGCCAGGGCCGGCCGGTGCCCTCCCCTCCTCCCCAGTCAGACCCTGTGGCCCTGCCCCTCTGTTGGGAGTGAGTCCTGAATCTGAAGAGAAGTTTTCACTGAGCTTTAGAAATGAAGACACGTGTTCTAGGCAGAGGGCTTCAATTGTCGGAGGCTTGTGGTGGAAAACTGCCCCACAGCCAGCGATAAGAGGGATAAACCAGAGAAGAGGAAGATGAACAATATGGGCCAGTGAAAGTGGCATGAAACGGGCCTCCCAGGACAGTGCAGCTATGCTTCTGTGTTCCCATCCAGCAGGACCGACCTAGCCCTCTTGGGTTTGCTGGATCTGATCATGTCACAGTGCTGCAGAAATTCCCATTGCCCTTAGTCTAAATGTGGGCCGTGGAGGCTTGCATGCCCTCACTCTGTCCGCTCGGCCAGCCTCGTCTCACCTGCACACCTGCACCCCTTGCTCCGGCTACACTCGTCGCTCTTCAGACAGTCTGTGCTGCGTTTCCACATGCTGGTCCCTCCTTCTGGAAAGCTGGTTCCCATGGCTAACTCCTCGTCTGTCTGCAGGGGTCCGCTTAGAACCATTCTTCCTTAGAGACCATCTGCGTCCTCCTGCTAGAGCCTCCTAACACGTCCATGCTTTCCTTTGCGGTTCTCGTCATGCCTGTAACTATTTTTTGCTGTCTGCTTCCCAGTAAATTGTGTGAGGACAGGGGCGGAGTCTTTGTTGGATGTTGGGTATAGCATAATTGCTCACTACATTTTTGTACTGACTGACTAGAAGGAACAGTAATTTGTAAATGGTGGGGGGAGAAAAGCAAGCTTTAACGTTTTTAATTTGTTTTGGTCTTGTTTTCCAAATAATTCCTGAGCAAACTATTATTTTACAGACACAACACATACTTTTTTTAAGGGATTCTCTGAGGTGACTTTTTTTTTTTTTTTTGGTGACTTTACATGTGTTGGACATATCTTACCTGCTTTTCTCTTCTCCCTGCAGAATGAGATGTGCCTGGCCACTCAGCAGCTTTCTAAGCAGCTGCTAGCATATGAAAAACAGGTAACTGGGTATTTATGTGGCATGTGATGCTATGCTCGGGACTCTCGTAAATGGAGTTCTTTTAAGGAATTCTCCAAGGGGGGCGCCTGGGTGGCTCAGTCGTTAAGCATCTGCCTTCAGCTTGGGTCATGACGCTGGGGTCCTGGGATCGAGCCCCACATTGGGCTCCCTGCTCTGCGGGAAGCCTGCTTCTCCCTCTCCCACTCCCCCTGCTTGTGTTCCCTCTCTTACTGTCTCTCTCTCTCTGTCAAATAAATAAATAAAAATCTTTAAAAAAAAAAAAAAGGAATTCTCCAAGGGCATCCTTGAGAGACTTTGATTTCCTTCTTTCTTTTTGTCCATGGTCCACTCCTGTTTTTGTTTTTTGTTTTTTGGTGGAGTTTTTTGTTTTTTGGGTTTTTTTGTCTTGCCTTTTCCTTTCCCCTGATAAATTCTAACTGGTGATTATCCCAAAGTCTTTATGATGTATTCTAATTAGTCTACAGAAGTCACCCACTGCCTTGAGGGTTCATGGTCTGAGGGGCTACAAATGAATCAAATTCCAGGAAATAACCCAGTTCCAGGAAATAAACTCAAAGATGCCGTTATGTCCAGACAGAAGAAGGGTGATGGCCACCAAAGGCATAGCCCGAGAGGGGCGGCTGAGTGCGTCGCTGGGGCAGGAAGTGGCGGGCGCACTCGTTTTCTGCAGATAGACACTGTGACGCGATTGCGCCCGGGAGCAGAGTGGGAGCTGGCTGGAGGGCGCTGGGATGTGGGTGACTCTCCAGGCGTTAACACCTGGGTCTTTTATTCTCTGGTCTTAGAATTTTGCTCTTGGCAAAGGCGACGAAGAAGTAATTTCTACACTCCACTATTTTTCCAAAGTGGTAGATGAGGTAAGATCGAAACACGGCAAAATTTTATTTGATTCTTTCTTGAACTTTCTTTCATCTTTGTGTTGGCCCACTTTCCATTGTATGTATCTACTCAAATATTTAAGAAGATATCTCAACTTGTTGCTCTTCCAAGGCTCATTTCACGAGACAGGTTGTATGCGATTATGTTTGTTTCTGGTTTGAGGAGAAAGGCTTTGTTATACATGAATAATGGACCAAGAGAAAGATTTCTGAGAATTCAGTTTCCCAAAAAGGGTGTATTGGTTTCTCCAGCTGCTTGTAACAAATTACAAGTAGGTCGCTTAAAACAACAGACACTTATTTGTTCCCAGTTCTGGAGGCCAGAAGTATGAAATCAAGTTGTTGGCAAGGCCAGGCTCCCTCTAGAGGCCTGAGGGGGAAACCTTCTTGGCCTCTTCCGGCTTCTGGTGGCCCTGGGCGTCCCTTGGCATGTGGCTGCATCCCTCCAGTCTCTGCCTGTGCCTTCCCATGGCCTCCTCCCCACCCCACTTCACCCCTTCCATCTGTGTCTTCTCTTCTTATAGGGACACTTATCATTGGATTAGGGCCTACCTGGATAACTCAGGATGATCTCATTTCGAGGTCCTTCATGACATCTGTAAAGACCTTGTTTCTAAATACTCACATGTTCTGGATGGACATTTCTTTGGGGGAGGAAGAGGATGGGCACGATTCCCCCGCCACAAAGGGTTTCGTACAACTGTTCTTGTAGCTGTATTGTATAATACGTTTGGAACATTTGTGAAAAACAGGTATTGTTATAAGAGAAGTACATAAATCCTATTTGTAATAAACACCCCAGCTCAGAGGCTACTGGTGCTGAGCAGAACCCTCTACAGAATTAGGTCGGTATGAAATGGGTATTTCACCTTTCAAGGAGCTTGCAGTACTTACAGTAAAAAATTATGATAAAGAAGAAGCAAAAAAGGACATGCAGGTTCCATTTAACTATTCAGTCGCTAATGTAAAGGAGATACTGTCTTCAGTTTATAACATGAGAAACCAGCATTCATATAAAATTGTACTGATTGCATTGTCATTCATTCAACAAACCAACCCAGCAAGTTGATACTCATTCAGCAAACACGTATTGACCACCTACTGTGGGGTAGGTGCTGTTACAGGCACTGGGGATATAACAGAGAACTCGTCATCCAGTTCTTTTGAGCTTCATCCTTTCTCCCACGACTCTGACTCTCTTCAAAATGAATGTTTAAAAGGGTGGATATCTTTTCCAGATAGGAGGAGCATGAATGGAAAAAAGTAATATATTTGGAAGTGAGGAGATGAATGTTTCCTAATTAACCATGAATAAGGAGCCCAGGGGGAGAAGCAGCGGGCAGCACTACCTGAAGTCAGGTCTTTTCTTGACCAGAGCCAGTTGCTAAGGAAATGTGGTTAGTCCTCAAACCCCCAGAACCTATATTTCCAGTTTAAGATACTTAGTTACAACCCTACTTTCATGGGCAGGAATGATGATTCTTTTGGTGGAGAGTGAATCATTCCCAAAGGCTGGAAGGCTGGGAATGTGATTTTATAGGTGGTATCATGGCCTCCCGAAAGCTTGGCCCCATCAGGGGTTCTCAAACAAGCCTCTCGGTGTGGAGACCTATGCGCGTGAAAGCGAAACTTTGCCGAATGCACAGATTGGTGGGTGATTTCCCTTTGTTCACCAACCAGGAATCCCAGAACATCTTCAGTAATATCTGTGTTCGTTGCTGATGTCTAGACCACCAAACATTTGAAGTTTGGGCAACTCTATGAGCATAAAAGACTCTGTATCCAACACGGTGTAGTAGGAAAAGCCTGGAGTTCAGATATAGTAGCCCAGGAAGAAAATCCCAGCCATTCCACCTCTTTGCTGTTTGGATTTGGAGAGTTGTTTGCCTACCTGTTACATGGGTATAATAAAGAAGACCTGACTCTCAGAGTGGGTGAGAACCAAGTGATATAAAGCATGTAACTCTGGCATGCAAAAAGGACTCAAAAATGGTAGTGCTGAGGGGGGATGACTTATTTCTTTTGCACCATTTACAACAGGATTTAGGAAGGCCTTGACAAGGTGGGTGGAAGGAGAGAAAGAAAATAAAATTACTTGGTGAGGAGGATCACATTTGAATACGGTCAGCTTGCTCTTTGAAAGAACAGAGGCCTGGGATCTGAGGTTTCAGTGGGGAGCCGCCTTTCTGCAGAGTAATTCCCAGGCCCACAACTGCTGTTGTTGTCGGGTTAATGGGTTCCCAGCAGGCCAGTCTTTCAAGTGTGACTTTGGCTGTTCTGAGAAGGAGAGAACTTATGGTGGCCTGGTAAAGTGTGACCCGAGGTGAGTGCTCCCAGTGAGCCGTGTTCGTTGCATGCACATGAACGTGACGTTTCCTCCTCCAGCTGGTGTGGCTCAGCCTGGGAACGTAGTACATAGACCGTAGCCATGGGTTTGGAGACTCCTTTAGCAAACCTGAGGCCAGCTCAGAACCGCGCATTTAGTTTTAGAACCTCTAGGCCTATATCATTTGTAGCTTTATGAAGGGTTGTTTATTTGCTAAGGAAGTGTAACAGAACTCTTGAACCACACAGAAGTGTTCAGTGTGATCCTGTGCGGAAGTCAATGTCCGTTATAGTGGGCATAATTTTTTTTTCAGTAAGATTTCTCTCTTTTTTCAGCTTAATGTTCTCCATACAGAGCTGGCTAAACAGTTGGCAGACACAATGGTTCTACCTATTATACAATTTCGAGAAAAGGATCTCACAGGTAAAGTTACTGAGTTCAGTGCCAATTACCTTCAAAATATCAATTCATTTCATAATCGTTCTGACTGTACTAATTTCTTTAAATATGTGCATCATTGAGAAATGCCCTTCTTTTTCTGAGCACTTCAGTTTAGCTAACTTCCACTGAATCTCCACTATGTCTTGGCTCGCCTAAAGGAGGTTACAGGCTAATGAGAAAACTGACTTGGAAACAGACAGTCATAACATCATGTGTTAAGGGCAACAGGACAGAGAGGTACAAGACAGCACACAGAAAGGTGTGATTACCTTTTTGACGTTAGGGTACCAGGGAGGGCTTCCTGGAGAAGGTGATCTCTGTGCTGGGTTTTGAGAGATGAGTGTTTACCAAGGAGACAACGATGGCAAGGTTTATATTACTGGTTCGGAGCATTTGTAAAGGCATGCTGTTTTGGGGGAGCCATGAATGCTTTGGAAAGTGGATGCCTTAGAGAGGGACGGAGGGGTGGGGACCATGCTTTACCTGTACTAGACCCTGGGCTGCAGCCGTTAACAAGGCAGACGAGCTCCCTGGTCTCCGGGAGCTCACATTTTAGTGGGTGGGCAGATCTGGGACTGGTTCAGAGAGCCTGGTTGCCCTTTTGGACTAATTTTGGTTCTTCAGCCAAAAACCAAAGCAAAATTATAGAGTAATTTTATATCTCTTGGAAATCAAGGTAGTCAAAAAATGAATAAAAAAGAACTAAAATTCATGAAAAAAATAGTTGATATTACAAAAGGGAACCCAGACTTTCTAGTCTTTTTGTTCTTTATGTCATCAAAAATATTAATTGCTTAGAGATTAAAGAATTGTATTTTCTGGAACACTGATGTAAAAAATTGCTGGCTAAAAAAGTCTAAACTGAATACTAAGAGATCTGTTCAGGATATTACTTCCTTTTCAGGGGGACCTGGGTGGCTCAGTCAGTTAAGCTGCTGCCTTCTGCTCAGGTCATGATCCCAGGGTCCTGGGATCAAGCCCCTCCTCCAGGCTCCCTGCTCAGCCGGGAGTCAGCTTCTCCCTCTGCCTCTTCCCCCACCCCCACCCCCCTCATGCTTGCTCTCTCACTCTCAAATAAATAAAACCTTAAAAAAATATGTATATATATATAACACCTTAAAATGTAAAATTTATTCAGGCAGAAAAGATGCAGTACATCTTAAAGACCATGTTCTTTCTCCCCCTCACTTGGAGATTCCCGGTGATCATGTCGCCTGAGGCTTTAGGGAGTGGGGTAGACCTGGCATCAACATTTGCCAAGGGCGGTTTACACAGCACTGAAACCTGACAAAGAAGAATAAATGAAATGTCAGCTTGTGTAAGGAGAAACCTTGCTTGAGCAGGGTTTTTAGTGGTTTTGAGTGTTGCTTATCTATAATTGCATGTAAATCCCAAACCTGCCCGTAGTCCTGTGCTGATTATCCAGTACGAACTGAGAGTCTGGGTACATTTTTTCATAAAGATTTTCTCTAAATAAAATCATAGAAATGTGTGGGGATTTCATTTTAAAAATAAAGTCCGAGTCTTTTAGACAGAAAATAATCACCCCTCCCCCCGCAAGACCTACATTGTCAGATTTGTGTCTTTCAGCTTTGTGATGGGAGGCAGCCCGGGGCAGAGGGTGCCGGCATTGGTAACGACCGGGCCTTCATCATCCTGAACGGCTCAAGTGTGGATTAGTAGTATTTGTCCAGGATGGTGATTTTTTTTTTTTTAAGAGAATAAATCTATGTGGTAGTAAAAAGAGAAGCCTCTTAGGTATCTATGGAAACAGTGAATCAAAGTAACCTCCTCTGACCACACCAACACGCAAGTTTGAAGGGTTTGGCCTGGGTCATACTTGAGTCAGCCTGAGAACCAGGTTAGAATCTGGCCTCCCCTCTGCTGTGATGGTTTTTATCTGACATTTTGCTGTCTTTTTCATTTATGCATCAATACAAGTACATATGTGAATGAAGAGAACACAAAGGCTAGTAGGGAAGTTATTTGACCCGGAAAGTGTAAAACCCTGAAAGTGCTCCAACAGGAAGTAAAGGAGAGAGGGGAAGAAAGGGAAAGGCAGGCCCACAGAGGCAGAAAGCAACCGACACCAAAAAGAGTAAGAATAACGGGAAGAGAGATTGAAAAGCTGGAGGCAGTTTTGAGGCAAACTGAAAAAGACATAAAAGGTATGAAAATGCTTTCCTTTGTTTGATGAAGCAAAACTGGATTGTGGTAGAGTAGTAGAAAGTATCGCTTTCTTTTAGATGTCTCTGTGTTTTTTTTGTTTTTTGTTTTTAATTTTATTTATTTATTTGACAGAGAGAAAGAGAGCACAAGTAGGCAGAGAGGCAGGCAGAGGGAGAGGGAGAAGCAGGCTTCCTGCTGAGCAGGGTACCTGATGGGCGGCTCGATCCCAGGACCCCAGGATCATGACCTGAGCTGAAGGCAGAGCTAACGACTGAGCCACCCAGGCGTCCCTCATTCCTGAGAGTTTTAAAAACAATAAGTAGGCCTCGACTAAATGGATATCAGCAGTAGTTAGAAAAATGAAATAGCCTCAATCCAGTTGTACCATTCTTTCCTTCTCATTTTCCTAGACATGTTAGTTATAGCAAAGAAAAATACCAGAATCATAATAAACGTGAGTGAGGGCCTCCAGCACTGACACCATGAATACAAAGAGACAAAAAGGCCCTTTACTATAGATAACATTTATAGATAACTGTATAGATAAGTATTGCTGTGGTGTTAAAATGAAATCTTACAGAGACTCATGCTCCTTTCCTTTCTGAGTCTCCCAGATGCTCCATCCGTATCTGCTCTCTATCTTCAATAAACTCTGCTCTCACTTAGAAAAAAATGAAATCGTACATGTAAAGCCCTTAGTGTGCAGCATTTAATAAGCAATCAAAGTTCATTATTTTCGTAATCAGTATCAGCTGCTAGCACCATACATCACACACTGGTAGGCACTTTATGTATATTCATTATCCCAGTAACCCTGCGAATTAGTGTTAGAGCCTGAACTTGGACCCAGGACTGACATGGTCCCAAGGGGATCCCAGATGCTTTGAGAGGCAGAGCAGGCTCTAAGCTCCTGGAGAACATAGGGTCGGTTCTAATCACCTCTGAATCCCAGTTGCCAGCACGATGTTTCGGCAGATACTGGATGAAGGCAGAGATGCATGCATCAGTGAATGAATACAATCTCTCTCTCTTTTTTTTTTTTTTTCCAAAATAGAAAGTATATTTTAAAAAGATAAAATGAAGAGTTTGGAACCAGTGTTTTTCACTTACTGGTTGACATCCATGCATTGATTACCAGAGCCAGTGGGTCACAGTCATGATTTCTGTTTACAAATGGAAGAGAACAGAATAGAGCAGGAAAAAATCGGAGTGTATATGCATACTAATGATAAACATTGTTTGGTCACATGTGTTTCATTACCACTGTTTTTAATTTTAGAAGGTTTGAAGAACTCTCCTCTGGCACACGAATTTATATGCTGTATGAACTCTGATATTTTGCTGTCATTGAGAGCTTTTTAAAAACCTGTCTTACATTTTCCATATTCATTGCATCTGGTCCCTCTGTTGATAAGGATTGTTACTGAAGAGAGTACCTTGGTTTCGGAGAAGGTATTTTTAGCCTTGAAGGCTTCAGGCAAAGCCAGGACAATTGTGTCTGGCCCAAGTACACTGGAGTTTGGGGGACAAAATCAAGGGGAGACTGAATGATCCTAACGCCCAGGTGATTGAGGGTGCTTTGAAGTAAGTCACTGCTCTCTTACCTGAGGTTAGAAAAAGAAAGAAGGAATTGAAATTCAAATGCAGGGAGATAATGAGTCTTAATAGATTGTTCTTTGTAAAGTGCTTTGATATCTTATTAAAAGCATTTCTGTAATTTTCTTTTTTTTTTTTTTTTAAAGATTTTATTTATTTATTTGAGACAGAATGAGAGAGAGAGAGAGCACATGAGAGGGGGGAGGGTCAGAGGGAG